TTCAAGACCCGCCTGGGCAACTTGGTGAGACCTCATCTCTACAATAAATCAAAAATCAGCCAGGTGTGGTAGCGTGTGCCTGTAGTTCCAGGTACTTGGAAGGCTGAAGCGGAAGGATCGCCGGAGGCCAGCAGGTCAAGGCTGCGGTGGCCGGGAGCGGCCACTGCACTGCACTCCAGTCTGCGTGACAGTGAGACTCCAACTAAAAAAAAAAAGTATATATCTGGAAACATTTAAATTCTTATTTTTATAATGAAAACACGTAATAACCACATGTAAAAAAGCTACAGTAAAGGGTAGAAAAAAAACAAGCAACTATAATCCTTCCATTCTACTGTGGTCTGTTTCTTTCTGTTCTTTTTTCTGATGTGTAGACTTTACATAGTTGTAAGCATACATTTTAGAACAATGTCTTTGTCTAAGGGAACATAAATTTAGATGTTTCAAAGGGCTAGGTTTAAAAAAATTATACACCAGATAATCATTAATTACTACAATATGTTGAGTTATGAGAAGGTATTGCTAATGGACGTATCAGGGCCATCATCTATTAGAAATGCAATATTAAGATTGTAAAATATAATTCTGAAGTGGATCCTTACCATTCCCTTCCCTTTTGAGAATTCTAGTGTTGGATGACAGGAAATTCTGCAACTGACTCTTATCAGTGATCTTTGAGTAGCTTCTCCAAGATGACTAACACACCAAGTTATGCTGTTTACGTTATAAAAAAAATTAGGCACGCTCACGTACACACATGTATGTGAACTGCAGAAATGCCAACCTGAGATACGGGAAGTGTGGTGAAGTCCTTTTAGGGTATGTGTCCTGCAGTCACACATTCCATTTCGTGTCCATGATGAGATAACGATCACAAAATTGGTAGTGATTTTTAGTTTTTAATCTTGTGCCCAGAAGCCATCTTGTTGAGAACACCTTTTTCATACTCTCTACCAATGACTGATACATTTCCTTGGAAGTAGAGAACTTCTGTGAGTGGAAATTACTGAAATGAGTGGTAAAAGCAGGCAGAGGTGTGTCACGGAATTCAGAGGCAGTTGAAGAGCTGTGGAGTCGGATGGCCTGTGCTTGAATCTAGACCCACCCATCTCCCAGGGCTGTGTAATGGGGACGGGACATCCCACTTGGCCTGACACACGGTTGTTGTGAGAATGGAATGAAATGTCTTAGGCGAATGTAACTTTGTGAACCGCCGAGCCCAGGATGTCTTCATCCTCAAGCTGAACCGGAAGGCTGCTCTTACTCTAGGATAGCGTACATTAGAACACAGTAGAGCTCTTCAACAAAATAGCCTGATCCCATTTCTTCTTCCTTCCAGTCTTCGGGCAGTGACAGCGGCGGCAGCAGCAGCAGCAGCATCAACAGCCCAGACAGGGCCAGCGGGCTAGAAGGCAGCTTCAGCCAGACCGTGGCCGGATCCAGCCCCAACACCCCCCAGCCTGTGCGTGAGCAGTCCGCACTGTGCCAAGGCCCCTACTTCCACATCAACCAGACCCTGAGGGAGGCCCATTTCCACAGCCTACAGCACCGAGGGCGGCCTCTGACATGATGTGCCGGCAGTTTCTTGCCTTCTGTGAAGGGACAGCGCTGTGCAGATTTGATACTTCAACTTACGACTTGTTTTAAAAAAATTGCACACAAAAAAAATGCCTGTTGGCTTTTCAGTCTATATTTGAAATAACAGGTTAACAGGCAGTTGTTTACTTGTGGTTTTGCTGCACTATTGCAATTTCCAAGGGGCTTTGAAGCAATTTTTTATAGAATTCTTTTGAGGGAGGGTATCAAATCCATGTCAAGGTAGTGGTATGAGAAAATCTCATCTGTGTGTTGAATCCATAGTGTGTCCCATTCAGACCGATTTTCAATTCTGTCAATTAGAAATTCTATGTAAAAGGGCCTTTTAAAAATGCGGGATCTTCAATTTTTTAAATTCAATAAACTAGTGAAGTATCTAGTTTCCATGAAAAAAAACATACTTTTTTTCCCAAACTATAGAAAGCTTGATTCAGTCTTGCACTGAAATTAACTGCCATACTACCTCTTAGCATGTAGATGTTCTATTGAAAGTACTCTCTCCTCTGTAAGGGAACAATCAGATCCCATATGGACTGTGCAGGGAAGCACCCTCCCTCTTAACAGTCTCCACTCTTTGTTATATATTTGTATTTCCAGGAAGAGTGTCGTTTAGACTCTTGTGCACCCAGCTAATTTCTGTATCAACATTCCTCCAGAGTCTGCACCTCAGACTTTAGTAGAAAACCCTGCACAGTTCTGAAAGTGAGGAACTATGTAATGACTTTTCGTCTTACAGACATGTTACATCAGCAGCTCACATGAGCTCATCAACAGTTCCATCCTGTAGTGTCAGTGACTAAGGTGTTTCGAAGGCTGATAAGGTGTAAGCTACCTGATGTAAGCAACAAGTATTGTGAAGCCACTGGACAAGGATGAACCCTGTGCTTCAGGTAACCCCTGACAGGAACCAGGGGCCACATTCCATCAGCGCTACTGGAAAGGTCGGTGTGGCTTGTAAGCAGATGAGCAGAGGCACCTTTAGAAGAGAGAAGGCAGTAGTGTTTATTTAGAGAGAGATGGACATGTTCCACATTACTTAGTCATACTAGAGAGCCAGCCAAGTTTGAATAGTGAAGGCGCCGACGTGTCATCCTCCTCACTGACGAGCTGTCTGAACAAGGAGCCAGGAAGCATCGGGTCACCAGCTTCGGAGCAGGCCGGGGGGACAACCTGCCATTGGATGTAGAGGAAAGTGCCTTAGAGTTGATCAGAGCCCTCCTGCCTGCTCGCCCTCTACGCCAAGCCATGCGGAGTCCACACGGCACACACAAGCAGAGATGCGCACCCAGCGAACTTGCTGTTTGTCGAGGTTGAAGACGACACAGGGATAGCATGAGATTTTACTATGTGAAGAACTCCAATTTGAAAATGAGGATTGTCCTAGGAAAAGGGTAAACAGAGGCACCTCCTTTCCATAGTCTGTTCCTCTGGTATGGGCAGAATTGAAAGGCCAGTCACCTGGAGTGGAAACTCAGTGTTTTGGGGGAAGTTACAGCATAGGCCATGCCTAGGTAATGGGTGGTTCTTTGCAAGAGCTTTTTTCCTTTTCTTTTTTTTTTTAAACTACCATCTCCCAGGTTTTAAAATCAAATTTTTAACTAGGACTTTGGATCTTAATGGGCTAAGTGGCAGGGAATATGGAAAGGGCACACTGCTAATATTTTGTCTAACAGTAAAGCAAACAACTAAATGCTGTAAGAAGGCAAGCTGTTTGCGCTCTCAAACACACGTGTACACAACACAATTCAGAAATACCCAGGAGGACTCCTGCAGGCTTAACGGATGGCATCCTACCGAAACAAAATGTGTATTAACAAAAAATGTAAAAAACACCTTTTATTTCCCACCCAATTAAAATATAGGGAAGATGAAACCATCATCAGAACTAAAAGAATTTTTTCCACATAAGTACAATCAGAGCACCAGGTTAGCAGGGAACTCTGACCCTACTAAATTCAAGAGCATCTCCACCCTTTCTAGATGTTTTCTACAGCCTTGGCAGCCTGAGGTACATTTCTGTTAGGAGGCTACTTGGTAGCGTCGATGGGCATCTTTTGAACCCTTCAGCTCAAGCTAGTGAAACCTTGTACTTCTCTGTTGCGCCGCCATTAAAAGCAGCATTAGTGCATTTTGTCATTCAGTTCTTTATCAGTTCTTTAAAAGGGAACCGATGGGGTGGCTTGGCGGGAGATGGGGACAGGATCAACAGGGATGAGGCTCTTGCTCTGGTCACTAACCTGGGCTTTTGTTTCCACGTTTCTGCTGGTTGACTTAGCCTTTCGAGTGCTTGTCATGCTCAGGGGGAGAAGTCCAAACCTTCGAGACAAGAGGAAAGCGTTTCAGTAGAACAGGCAGCTTCAGGCCCAACACAAGCCTCTTAGAAGCATTTACCTGATATGACTTGATGCCAGTGGCAGTATGTTATGGGGTTCTTGGGAGTTGAATGTACTGCTCCGGGGGCTGAACTGATTCTCTGTGCCAGTAACCAATCCAAACAGAACCTGGCAGACAAGAAGCGGGGCACAAAAAAATGCTGGGTTATACTGTCCAGGTAAAAGAGAAGACTGCTGCTTTACTAGTAACCAAATACTCCTTTTATTATTATTTTTCTTATTCTGAGTTGGAGTCTCACTCTCACTCCCACCCAGGCTGGAGTGCCAGTGGCATGATCACAGTTCACTGCAGCCTCAACCTCCTGGGCTCAGGCGATCTTTTCTGCTTCAGCCTCCTGAGAAGCTGGGACAACAGGCCCATGCCACCACACCCAACTAATTTTTTAAAATTTTTTGAAGAGATGAGGTCTCGCTATGTTGCCCAGGGTAGTCTTGAACTCCTGGGTTCAAGTGATCCTCCTGCCTTGGCCTCCCAAAGTGCTGGGACTAAAGGTGTGACCCACCGTGCCTGGCCAATCACTACTTTAGTTCTAACCATTGTTTTGGGTAATGTTCTTTTGAGTGTTAATGCTTCAGAACTCATTTTTGTCACTGCCCACAGGTCAGACTCTTATAGTCATGGAGTTCTTTTATTCCTCTTTCTGAGGCCTGAATAAAACTGAAATAATCCTTATCCACAACTAAAGGGGTCAGATCCATGGTTGCTCTGTGTTGTGAGATCTTAACCCTCTTTCAGCCCATCTAACCACACTTAACTGTCTGTGCTTTACCCCCCTCCCAACGCTGCATCCTAGAGTATTAAGTGCTGGAGCAGTTTAATTTTGTAATTTGAGCCTCTTTGCCGTGACTCACAGAAGTTCGCTGCACCAGGCGATTAAGGTTGCTATTTAGGTGCGGTGTGAAAACATCCAGGTCAAATGGATCGATGAGTACTTCCAGCCGGTCAGTCACGCTCTCAATCCTGGAAAAAGGATGAGCAGCATCATTCGCTTTTCAGGATCAAAAACAATCTAACAGCATTTTAATGATGTAGAAATCCTGAAACTGGCTTTTTTCCTACTTAGTTGCTGGCTTGGGACACTTGCCGCTGACGATAGTGCCTATGTAATCCTCAAAACAAGACATGACTAAGTGAAGTCCACTCCTTCCCCGTGTTCTGTCTCTAAGGAGGGCATTAGAGGCTCAAAGGATACTCAGCAGCTGCTAGGCTGACTCAAGCAAGGAAGGAGAGTCCACCTACTTCGCCTGAGCATGGAATTTATCCAGCAGGTGGCCACCATTCAACTTGCTGCTAATATGAACACTTCCTGTTTAAAACAAACAATGAATGTGCAGTAAGAGGCTGACTCTTGTTTTGGGTGGCTTCCCGGCAAAGGCGGTGTTCGCGTTTGGGAGAGACCGCCCTGGGACAGCTCAATAGAAAGGATACGACACCTGGCGTCCGGCTTGCTTCGGCCGCTCTTCACCTCTTCAGCCTTGGTTGTCAGAACAATGTTGAGATACCGCAGATCGTAAAGCAACTGCAGCGCCCGGTTCTGGGTTACTGGAAATGCACCTTCTTTCTGCAAATGAGTTCCCGGGCCCCACCCATGAAGAGAGATGACTTGTTATGTGAGCATAATAAACAGCTTCATGTTTTGGTTGAGTTGCAGCTTGCTATTTCAGAAGCAGATGCTTTTGATACTCATGGCCAGTTTAATCACGCAACAACAGAAGACAGGCTATGTTACCATCTTGATCTTATACAGAACTAAAAACCTAACAGCAGGGAAACCCAGCCCTTAATGAAATGCCTCAGGTACTGTAAGTGATCATTTTAAAGCAATGGGGCTTCCTGCATGAAGAGAGGTATTTTGAGGAAGTTCACGAGAGAAGACAACTGAATTCTTTCCAAAGCCAGGATGAGTCCCTTAGAAATGTTACTAAGCCGGGCTCGGTGGCTCAGCCTGTAATCCCGCGCCTTTGGGAGGCTGAGGTGAGTGGATTGCCTGAGCCCGTGGGTTTGAGACCCACCTGGGCAGCGAGACTTCATCTCTGCAATAAATCAAAAAATCAGCCGGGCGTGGTAGCTGGGCGTGGTAGCCTTCCGGCTACTCGGAAGGCTGAGGCGGAAGGCTGAGGCGGAAGGATCGCCGGAGCCCAGCAGGTTGAGGCTGCGGTGGCCGGGAGCGGCCACTGCACTCCAGTCTGGGCGACAGAGTGAGGCTCCAACTCAAAAAAATAAAAATAAAAAAATGAAATGTTACTAATGAAATGGGCGTATACACCAAGGGCAGGATGCTTCACAGAAGGTAAGAGGGTTGTGAAGGGTGGGAGATGAGAACTCCCTTCAGTGAGTACCTCTGTGTGCCACACACTGCACCCCGCAGCTGTTCTTAACTCCTCACAGTCACCCCTGAGGTGGGTGCGGTGTGGAAAGTCTCCATTTCACAGGAGAGGAAGTGAACTCAGCAGCTTTTCTACATGATCACATTTGATCCCGAGGAGCAGGTTAATGATTTGCCCAGTGAGCAAGTGGCAGCACTGGGGTTGGAGCCAGGCCTTTTTTATTTCAAAGCGTTTGTCCTTTCCATTTGCAAGGAACTGCCTGCTTAGTGAAGATCTGCCTGACCTTTAAGAATAGGTGCAATTAAACTTGCAGACCTGGGAGCCACGCCTACTACCATATGGCATTTTTACAGCACCCAATGCCTGGGCTGGGTGATCCCTAACAGTTTGAATCCTTGATGTGAGTTGCCCAATAGCTAAGGTTTCTATTTTTGTGTGTCTGTTTTTAATGGGAAATACTCAAATACTTACCTTAATCTGTTTTTCTTCTGAAAGTTTCTCATAGGCAGCTACCACTTGAACCATACAGCTTTTTAGCATCTCCTGCAGTGTCACTTTTGGCAAGGCATGGCCTCCAATCCGATTAATTTCCTGGCATAGGCTAAACAGGAAGGACTGTACATACCAGGATGGCTAAAAGAACAAAGGAATGTTGCGTTGCCAACTTGCACCAATTAAATGACATACAGTAAAAGTGAAACCATTCATCCTTACAAGGACTATATGCCAGGACCTTGACCTCTCCAATCAAGCCCTCGTACAGGTAGACCATTTAACAAATACAGACCTGCCAAGTGCAATTCACTGTCATCCCCTCTGTGATCTGAGGTTGGCCTGGCAGTGTTTAACACTGCTGTTTTCACTTTAGGTAAGTGGTTTTCCAATTAGCACAAAAGGAAAGAACTATAACTGACTTCTCAGTCTGCCATTTACTTGGTCCTACATCTGCTCTGCCCCACAGTGGAAAGTTATAAAGATTAATTTCCACTATTCCTCAGAGGTTGTATGTTGAATGATTTTCTAAAATCATTTTTCTTCTCCACAGAGCAATTTTTTCCCTTTTCCAACCCATGGTCCCCACTACAGTGGGACTTGCTCACCTGCACAGGAAGTCGGATCTTGGATGTGATGCTGCTGCCAGACTCTGTCTCCTCCTGAATTTCCAGCTCATCCCAGTTGGTGGCTGTGGCCAGGACTGAGCCAGCATCATCTAAAAGTAATGACTGGGTGAATCCATGAATCAAAACCTGGCAATAAAAGGCAGTATCCATATAAGCCATTCAGACCCTTGTAGAGTTTGTATAAAACTACCTGCGTGATCTTGAGAGCCCAAACTGCTCAGGTGATGTGTGTGCTGGTGAGTGGCACGTGGCACTTTTGTGGCTAAGTGGGGATGTAGCAGTGGGAGTCTGCTTGCTACCTACCCTATAAATGTCAAATGCCACCTCTTAAGATATAAGTGGAGACTACAGGGAACATGGTATTTAGGCTGAAGAGCAGGAAAAATGTAGACCCTTGTCCAGGCAGAAAGTCTTTCATTCTTATCTGATGGACAGAAAAGGTGCAGGTTTTCTATCTACAAAATGTCGGCTAAAAATTTATGGAAATGTTTTCACTGAGCCTTCTGGCAGAGACAAAGTGGAAGGAGCTCTATGAAATAAGAACAGTTTGCCCTAACGACTGAAGGACCTTCCTGAGGTTGGCCAGACTGGAATGTGGTAAAAGTGAGATAAAATGGGGATTGGAAGCAGTTGTGTCACTCACTTTCAAAACCGCTGCGCTCCAGACACGGTAGCCTGTCACACTCTGCTGCAGGAGCACTTCTTTAACTTCCTGCCACTTGGCCTGTGTAGGAATGACTTCCTGAGCTTTGGCCTTGCCCTGTTTTCTCAGAGCCCTAGACTCCCTTGCTGGTTTCTCAGTGCTCCCCGATTTTCCCAAGATGCATTGCTTCAGATGGGGGCACAGCTCTCCCAGGGACTGGCAGAGTCTGGCCATGAAAAGAACTGAGTGCAGCTTGACACTATTGAGGATATCCTGTTGTCCCTGCACGGCTGCCTCAATGCTTTGCAGCTCTGCGCAGATGCAGTCCATGATGTGCTTGATGCATGCCACAGAGTGGGTCCGCAGCAGCTCTTGCACGGTCCTGGCATCTGCGAACCTGTCAAAGGCAGAGTTCTTAGCCTGTGTGGGAGAAACATCCTTGGATGGTGATGAGTCATCAGAGGGGAGGTAGGCCAGGAGATCATCCAGCTTCACCTTCAGCTTGGAATCCAGAGCAGAGCAGAAGTTCTGTACACAAGGGCTGATGGCTTGAGCTTTCATGGAGAGGCCACTACTGGCAAACTGACTCCGGTTTGCCACGTTGACCCAGGCAGCGTCGGAAGGCAGGTCGTTAGGACTCTCAGACCAGAGGAAGAGAGCCATATTGTGCTCAAAGTGAACGTGCTTACTTGAAGTGGAGTTGCCAGAACTGCTTTCAAGTTCCTGCAAAGCTGAAACCAGGAGCTCTTTGGAGCTACTGGAGATGGAGTCAAAGCCTTCTTTTGTCAGAGTCTAAAAGAGAATGAGAGGAGAGTTCTACTCACTGTTCCTCTAAGGAAATCTCAAAACAAGTGTACAGATGGCAGCTTTCTCCTAGCGTTCAGAGAGTTTCCCACTATATTCAGAAAGCTGACATAGTGTTGGCAGAGAACAAAGGAGACTTTACTGACAGACAGGGGCGCCTTTGCCAACCAACTGACAGGCCTGGTGTCGTTCAGCTCTAGACTCCAGGTCCCTGTTAATAAGCAGGGAAAGAATGTACTTGGGGAATGACAGGAGTCTCCCAAGACAGCACACCATACTCAGACTGGCCTGAAACAGTCTCACCTGCAACCGGTCAAGGAACAGCTGCTGCATCATGTCCTCCCAGAACAAGAGCGGCTTCTCCAGCAGCCGCCGACATATCACATCCCAGCTGTGATTGGTGGACTCATTGGTAAGTAACTCCCACATGGCATCGCGGATCCCTGCGAGCCCTTTCATGCTCTTCACGTACATAAGCAGGTTGCTGATCCCATTTTTAATGTCTTCATTACACCTGCAACAAAGTCAATTTCCAGGGCTCCACTAAACACATGGTTTTCACATCTTTATTAGAAAAAACGGCAGGATTCCATTTGAAGACTCTTATCCCGAGTTCCTATCTGTATATCTCAGACCGTTTACAGATCTAAATCAACACAGCATTTCTGGCTGGAGTGGGGTGTGCAGTCTGCTGCCAGTCTCACCAGGCCTATGCCTGATTCCCTGAGGATATAAAGAAGTCTAGAGCCCCATGGAATAGCTTCAAAAACCAATGCATTAAATAAAAGCTTAGGACTTGCAGAACTCTTACATAAAGATAATTTAAGACCCTCCTCATAACCTTCTAAAAGAAATTCTTTCTTGGTTCTCCTGCAGTGGGTGCTAAGTGGCTACCAAGGTGGTAATGGGCCACAGCAAGTGGTCTCCACACAGTACGTCATCCAGGAGGCAGGACCCCCCCCCCCCCAGGGAAGGCGCCTTCTGGCCACTTACATGTGGATCCACTTCTGCAGCGTATCCTTCAGGTACTCCTGGCTGATGGGATGTGCAAGAGTTCGGCGTGCTGGCTGGAAGTCGACGACGGATGCCGGCAGATGTTTGAACCAGCCACAGAGTTTCATCTCTCCCTGCAGGACACTGATGCCCCTTCCTAAAGTGGAGGTCAAGTGAGACACAATCTTGGTCACTCTTTGAACAGCAAATGAAAACATGGACCTGGAAAAAATTTCCAAGCATCATCTAGCTTTTCTTTGGAAAGGTCAAACTGGACTCCAAAAACAGGGAGGAAAAGAAAGTGTAGAATATGTCTAGGGCTCCTCTCATCAGGGAGTGTGGCAGTTTCCCTATGACTCCAGTCACCCTGTTGGCTGAGAAGAATGGCAAAGGTCAGGAGGAAAAAATTGGTCAAAACGAATAGAAAAAAGAAATAAGTGCTGTGGAGGACCTGGGATTTTAAAAGTAGAATTTAAGTTGTCAAGAAGTAAAAGGGAATGGCTTCCCTTTCCTCACCATCTTCCCACTTCCTTGTAGATCTAAAAGAAGAATCGACAGTCATTCATCCTGATTATCGAGTCATTTGTGGCTCTTCAGAGGTGACCCACCAAGAAGGGCACAGGCTTGCACTGTGCAACTCTGGGAGGCACTATTTGCTGTGTTCTGAGTACAGGGTACCCTCTGGAGTTCAAAACACAGGGCCCTTCCACAGTCCCTTGTATCGTTACAATGCATGACAAGTCAGCTGATACTCACCTTTCTGAGAGAGACAAAGTATTAGGCGTCAGCACCTAGAGGGAAACCAAAGCACAAGGAGGTGGTGCCCTAATGGAAAGATAAGGTAAGCCAGATGAGACCCAGAATGCACAGCTCTCTCTGGAAAAGACCGCTTGGCGATCACCGTACCGTATCAGTGTCCTTCCTTGGCTGTAACTCCTGAGCTGGTTTGGCTGGTGCCCCCACTTGACCTTGGATTTCTGGAGTTCTCTACGTCACAGTCCTCTTTCATTTCTTTCCTTACTGACGATGTCAGCCACTCCCACAGCCACACACAGATGTACCATGGTGTCTCTCTCTAGCCAGACCTCCCACTGCTGCAGGCCTGCAGGCACGTGCCCACTCCACAGTCCCATTCCAAGGTCTCAGGCGTCTCCAACGCAACACTCAAAGGGAACCATCGGCAGCCCCTTCACACAGCCTCCTTTTCTAGGTCCCTTGGACACCTCCCTCCCTACACCCTATATAGCCAATCCATCACCAAATCCTTTCCGCCTGCACAGACATCCAAGTTGTCCAGTTAACTCCATCTCTGCTGCTCCCTCCAAACCCAAGTCCCCAGCTTCTGACACCTGTATCGTGGCAACAGCCTCCTAAGTGAGTTCTCGGCATCCACTCTTGCCCCCTGGGGATCTATAGCCACATAAAAGCCAAATGCATTTATTTCATTCCAAGTGGGATAAATGCTTCCAAATAAAAGTATATGATGCGTGGGGCCATACAGCAGAGGGACCATACCAAGCCTAGAAGGTTCCAGAAGGTTATCCATCGGTCTTTGGATAAAGTTCAAGCTCCTTAGCCTGGCCCTGAAGGCTGGGCGCTCTGGCCCTCAGCCACAACTCTAGGCTCTTCTCTTGCTACTCTCCCCCTCATCCAATACCCCTCAAACTCATGGACTCTCTTACAGTTCCTCCTGGCCTTGGAATCTTTGCACAGCCTCTTCCCTTTGCCTGGAGCCCTCTTCCTTGCCTTCTTCTTGACAAACTCCTACTCAGCCTCCATCCTTCCATTTAAATATCACTTCTCCAGCCAAGCTCGGTGGCTCAGCCTGTAATCCCGCACCTTGGGAGACTGAGGTGAATGGATTGCCTGAGCCTGCGGGTTCGAGACCCGCCTGGGCAACTTGGCAAGACCTCATCTCTACAATAAATCAAAAAATTACCCGGGCGTGGTAGCACGCGCCTGTACTTCCAGCTACTCGGAAGGCTGAGGCGGAAGGATCGCCGGAGCCCAGCAGGTCGAGGCTGCGGTGGCCGGGAGCGGCCATTGCACTCCAGTCTGGGCGACAGAGTGAGACTCCAACTCAAAAAAATAAAAAAAAATTTTTTAAAAAATCACTTCTCCAAGGAAACCTTCTCTGACCTTAGTGAGTTCCCTCTATTCAATGTTCACAAGGCAATGCGTTATTTGCCTTTATAGCAATGTCCAATATTGACATTAAACAGATATTTGCATATTCGTGAAGTCAATATTTGCCTCTACCACTAAACTGTGACCTCCACGCAGAAGGGATCCATATTTGTCCAGAGCCTAACACAGGAGCTGGCTGATACGTGATAGACAGAGACTCAGTATCAGTTGAATCAAACTAAAAAAAAGTCGGCTAAAAGCTCACCGGCAGGATGCTGGCTTGTGATGGTCTCTAGAGTCGAGAAGAGCAAGCCACATGGCAGGGATGGATCTGGCAGCAGACCTTCTGGCAAAGTGTAGAAAAGGGCATGAGCTTGGTTCAGAGTGGTGGCCAGCAACTCCACTAACGAGCAAATCTGAGCCTTGATACCAGCACCTACAAGAAGAAACCATTCTCTTTTAAACAGTTTCCTTTTGTAGAGTTAAACATGAAAGACACTCTAGAGACTTCAGTCTCCCTCAGCTCACCCTTCTCCATCCCACATTTAAGGACCAAATGCAGGAGAGAAGTCACACCCACCATGGTGTGGCTGATTGAGAAGTTTCTGAATAGTTGCCTTTCTGGCCAACAGGAAGTCTGTGAGGGCTTGGCGAGGAGAACTCTCTTCCAATAGCATTATGGAGCACAGGGCCTCCGCTACAGCTTGGTCAGACACGGCTTGGCATTTGAGCAGCATCTTGCTTTCGTGCAGTATAGTTGACCTAGAATAATGATGACACGGGTCAACACGGCATTTTCAGCCTCTTGGACAAAGAGCCTTGGCAAGTAAGGAAAGAAGACAGACTCTTATGGAATCTGCTACTGTAGTGGCGAAACCTGGCCATCATCAGAGAACTAGTTCTTCTTTGTGCCAGACCCACTTACCGGAAATGGCTGGCTGCTGCCACCTGCCGGATGAGAATAGGAAACCGGGAGAGGACGGGACTGTGTCGGGAGCTAGAAGAATCCAGCCGGAGCAGGCTGTGGAGGTGGCAGCAAAGCAGGTAGAGCCGTGTGGCATGGAGAAACTGAGAGGCTTCCATGGAGCTCCAGATCTTCTCAGGAATCTCCAACAACAGCTTGATCTGGGCAGCCATGCTGTAGAACTTCTCTTGGGACGGCTGTTGTGGCTGCAGGGAAGCAAAGGGGGGCACAAAACCAAGTCAGACGTGCAAGCAAAAGCCAGGGCAGTGCTCTCCAGGCTTGGGGAGAAAGGCGGGGATGTCTTAGGACTTGAAGCGCTCCTTACTCTGCACTCGGTGCCACTCACGAGGCATCAGAGTGCAGTGTAGAGGTGCTGGGTCAAGAGTGCGGACAGTCCCAGGGTTTCTTGCCACATGTATACCTATGCTCAGTCCCAAGGAGAGGCAAAATTTCATCCCACCATCTAATTAGCAGTGATCCTCTTGAGGTCACAATGGCATGAACACCTGAGGACTACCACTTGCGCGCTTTCTCCTTCCTTTTCTTTTTAAAAAAGAGACAGGGTCTCACTCTGTTGCCCAGGCTAGAGTGCACTGGGGCGATCACAGCTCCCTGTAACCTCGAATTCCTGGGCTCAAGTGATCCTCCTGCCTCAGCCTCCTGAGTAGTTGGGACTACAGGTGCATGCCACCACCTAGATATCTTTTTTATTTTTTTGTAGAGATGGGCTCTCTATTGCCCGGGATGGCCTCAAACTCCTGGCCTCAAGTGATCCTCCTGGCTTGGCCTCCCAAAGTGCTGGGATCACAGGAGTGAGCCACAACACCCAGCCTCCTTCCTTTTCTGGTGATTAGTCTTCCTACTTTTTCTTCTATTACTTTATGGACTCCATGGACTTCTTTGCTGACTGTTCATCTTCACAAACCTCACACCAAACCTTCAGTCTTCAGGCCTCTACTCATTACAGCATACCCTCTTCCTTCAGGATTCTCTTCCCTCAAACATTCCCTCATGAATGGATTAGTGCCTCATAAAAAGGGCTGGAGAGGGCCAGGCTCAGTGGCTCAGCCTGAATCCCAGCAATTTGCGAGGCCGAGGCAAGTGGATTCCCTGAGCCCGCAGGTTCGAGACCAGCCCGGGCAACTTGGTAAGACCTCGTCTCTACAATAAATCAAAAATTTAGCTGGGTGTGGTAGCGTGCGCCTGTAGTTCTGGCTACTTGGAAGGCAGAAGTGGAAGGATCGCTGAAGCCCAGCAAGTTGACGCTGGAGTGGCCATGAGTGTGCCATGGTACTCCAGCCTGGGCGACAGAGTGAGATTCCAACTCAAAATAAATAAATAAAAGAAATGGAGGGAACTAGCTTCAGCTTTTTTATGTTCTCCTACCCTCGGCCACATGAGGATGCAGCAAAAAGCCCCTCAACAGACACCGAATGCCAGCACCTTGATGCTGGACCTCTCAGACTCCAGAACTGTGAGAAAATAATGTTCTGTTCTTTGTAAATTATACATCTCATGTGTTTGTTATGTAGCACAGATGGACTAAGACACCCATATTCCAAATCTCATCTGTCCTTAAGGCCTTTCCTTATGGAGAAGGACCCCAACCTAAAGTGACTTCCTTCAGAATTCTTAGGGTAAATGTAGACAATTATCTTGGAAATTAATAATCCATTTATCCTAAAACGTTTTCTACTGCTATTCTAAATTATTTATATTTTTCTTGTCAACTCTCCATGGACTTATTTTCTTGATCAGATTGTAAGTTCCTTCACAGTAGCAATTGAAGACTTCTGTTTCTTTGTGACTTGAACAGAGAAGGCTTTCAAATTGTCGTGGGTTTGATGGAGAGTAAGTCAAACATAACAATGATGAAAATCCATACATTTCTGAAATCAGGTGTAATACAAGTTAGCTTTTTAAGAAACCTGGAAGCAAGACTCAATTACAGCAAAGGCTGGTCACCTAAGCGGGGAGCACGCACTAAATGCACAGCTTTGGGAGGAATGAGGTCACTCATTTCAAAAACCTGCAAAGTATTCCCAGCTTTCTGTGGTCCTGTTGCGTCAGCCCAGTCTACCGACCTGGATTTTTCCAAAACCAAGGCAGCATGAAAAAGTTCCAAACCGGAGCGAGATCACATTTTGTCATTTCTTCTTCCATGTCCCGGCAAGTTCCTCTCCCCGGTTTTCCAGAACAGCTTTCCTTTGTACCTTTTCGTTCCCATGCCCTTCCACTTAGCTCATCCATAGATCAACATTCTCTAAAAAAGCCAAAATGGAACTCCGATTTTAGGGTGTGCTTACTACCTCTTCCTTCCACACCCAGTCTAATCGGTAGCACTGGCGGCTGGGGGCCGGGGAGAACAGGACCAACTGAATCAGAAGAGCCCTGGTTTCTAGAAGGAAAATGTTCAGCTATTAAGAGGCAAGGGCTCGACGGCTGGTGCCGCCCTTCAGCAACTCCGCAAGGGTGGCGCAGCTGTTTGGGAATGTGGAGGTCATGGGGGGGCGGGACGGGGAGAAATTACTCGGGGAGAAGTTGCCAACGTGGAGGAAAAATCTGTGCTAAGAAAATCGCCAGGAGGCGTCATCATACAGATAAGAGTCGCCCGTCTAGACAAAGACCCCTGGCGTCTTCCGCTAAAACTGAGTAGAGCCCCGGGAACTCAAGACCCGGAAGTCGGGGACAGCTCCTCAAGAAACTGCCGGTGACATTTCCAGACCCGAAAGGACAGCCGGTACCCTCCCCGAGGGGAGCCCAAGAGTGAGGGGGAGGCTCCCCCCCGAGGACGGCGAGGACGCGCGGGGTCGACACCGGC